ACAACATGGATGGACATTGAGGGTATTATGCAAAGTGAAATAAGTCAGAGGGAGAAGGTCAAATACCGTATGATTTCCCTCATTAAGTAGTAGAAAATAACAACAATAAACAAACACATAGAGACAGAGACTGGATTGGTGGTTACCAGAGGGCAAGGGGGGAGGGAGGAGGGCAAATGGGATAATTAGGCACATGTGTGTGGTGATGGGTTGTAATTAGGATTTGGATGGTGAACATGATGTAATCTATGCAGAAATAGAAGTATAATGATGTACACCTGAAATTTATACAATGTTATAAACCAATGTTACTCCAATAAACAAAAAATTAAAAAAAAAAAAGATAAACACATTTTCCTATTGAAAATCATTTTTAACTCAAGCCAGAGGACAGGTGAGGACATTCCTAAGAATACAGTAATAATATAATGATTAACACACAAGACTTGGTGACAGAAATATTTGTAATTCTATAATTTTTTGTGTTTGCTAAGTATTTTAGTGAAATATTTACTGGGCCATAACTAGTTGCTTCCTCTGCTTCAACGTGACATACCAATATGTCTATAAACCTGCGTTTTCAAAGAATAATGAAGTCAATAGCTATCCAGATATTTCTTTTTCCAAAAACATCTAAAATTTTTTTTCACACTTTTTCCAACTAGTCAAAGAACCTGCTATAAAGGTAAATGTAACATGTCTCCCCCAAAAGTGTCAGTTCTTAGTGATGTCACATCAATATCAACCTGGGAATTTTCTTATTTTGGAATCATTACATAAGGCACTCTTCTGCATACTTCCCCATTCTACTTCTGACTGAACTGAACACAAGTTAATGATGACAGGAATTTTTCTAGGTTATTTTTGGGCTAATGAGATGTGAGAATGTTTATTTTTAAAACAGAGGAAACCAAACCCACTTCCGGAACCTGATTTAAACTATTTTCTTGCATCTTAAACTTCACAAAAGCCTTATAGGGGCCTTTTTTCAATTAATTTATATTTAACAACATTGCTAATCATCTTTAATACAAATGAAAGTCTTTTTAATATTAATAGCACATTTTTTCCCTTCACTTAATAGAGTATGTGAAAATTTGGACAGAAATTCTTCAGAAATTTTTCTTAGGTCTGGAAAACACCCTACATAGAAAAATCCTGTCTGATCCACTCATTTCACAGATATGAAAATGTTGACCCAGAGAGAATTAAAATTAATTACAGTTATTTAGTGAAAGAACTGGGACTCTATCTCAGGTCTCGAAGTTTTACTCTTCTTTTTTGGTCTCACTATACTGCCACTCTTCAGATAATCTGAAATTAAACTATTACTTGAATGAACTAATCAATCATCCTACTTCAGTCTCTCAATATTTTATTTTCAATGGCAAGCTAAAAGTTAAATATTAACTTAAGTAATTTTTAGCACATCACAAATAGGCTTAATAGGACCTTTCAGCATTTTTTTAAAAGCTGGTTCTTATTGCCAGTTTTCATTTATGTAGCCTTCTTCCTTTAAGACCCTCAAGTCTGAGTCTAAAGTTGGAAGAATTCCATAACAGACTGTGCAAACATCACACTGTAATTACTGCCGGACACATACCAATATTTCGCCATGGAAGCAGTGGCCGAGTCCAGACGTTTCGCTTCATGCAGCTGGAGACAGCTGTCCACAAAAGCTCTGGTTACACAAATGTGTGTTTTTAATTCTGCTAGCTTATGCTGCACTGTCTTAAGTTTAAAGGAAATGAAAGAAAAGAATGAGCATATTTTGAGTCACCTGGCATATCAAAAATTGTATAATAAAAGATCTCTAGAGCAAAACAAAAGTGGAATTTCTGGGAGTTCTCCCTCAAAAAAAGAGGCATATGTTAACTAGACAGCTTAAATTTAAAACCCACTATATTTCATTGCTAAGGAAACTTATACTAAAAGAAAAGATGCAAAAATAGGTAAATATGTAAATAACATCTCATGTTTTAGATTTAAAAATTAAAACTATTTAGGGAAACTTCTTGAAAAACAGGATGATTTTAACGGGTGAGCACCATCTTGTGGTACAGTCCTTTGGGTACAGCTGTTGAAAACACTGATTTTCCTCCCGAATCTAAATCCACGAAGAATTTTTCTCTATTAAAGAAATTAAGTATACATATTTCTCTATTCTGCTTCTTTGATATGGAGTAAAGTAACAAAGTAACAAACTGGAAGGACAACATCAAAAATTTTACTTTTGTTTATTAGTCATTATTATTTTATATTGCAAAGTATTAAATCTAGATCTGTAGAATGCAACAGAAGAACAACTGAATCACAGCACTCAAAAGATCAAAGTCCAGTTCCCCCAATCTCTTCCACCTCTCCCCACCCTCCCTCTCATCCTCTCAACAGCTGGTCTAGCACAGTCTCTAATTTGAACTGAATGGTCTGCAGCTGTCAATGTTAACATATCCATATACCTCCTTCTACTGGCCACAGACAATCAACAGTGTTCTTGGAAATCATTCTGTCTAGTCCATCCTCAACTGTTCTCAACTGCTCTCACTTCAATCAAATTTTCCTGCATTCCTGACTCTTGGCTCTCACACCTTGAATTTTGAATTTGTATCTGGTCACTTTGGTACCAAATCTTAAACCTCCTTCAGGAAACTGGCTTGGATTTGAAATACTGGCTTTCCACCTTAAGTAACCTCCAAAAATACACCCCATTGTAGGTTCAAGGCCCAACTATGGTCAGTTGGCTCTATCTTCCTTCTGGAAATTCAGATAGAAACAGAGTTTTGATAATTCTTCTGGGTAACTTATGAGTGAGACCTTCACTGTGGCTAATCAAAGGCATGGAAGTTAGTGACAAACGGTGGCACAGTGAAACTCAAAGTAGAAATTAAATGCACCCCATCTATGCAGTCCAAAGCCATGACTGAGTTCTCCAAGGAAGGCTTTAGGGACCCGGTTCTCAGAGGACACTGGCCCTGCCTCTACCACTGGTTACAGCAATTCTCAAACCACAAAACCAAACCTTTCAGCATCATTGTGGTGGGGACAGTATGGGTAATTTCCATGTCTGGAAAAGAGCAGAAAAGGGGTCTAATAAGACCCAGGACCAGGCAAGACTAGGGAGCATCCAGTGGAGCAGGAGCTCTGAGGGACAGACTCCTCATAGGTGTATCAACTACTGTGCTCATGAAAAATCCAGCTGGCTGCCTCTCCCTTGGCTTTACCCCTTCATGTTCTAGAAACAGACAATGTGACTGGCATCTAATGATTCCACACCAAGCAGTGGGAAGGCTGGTGCCACACTTCTTCCACCTCTGTATCCTGGCCTATAATTCAGAACATGGTGGGTTACATCAAAATTTTCTTGGGGCCAGTGTGGTGGTGTAGCAGTTAAATTCGCATGCCCTGCTTCGGTGGCCCACAGTTCTCCAGTTGGGATCCTGGGTGCAGACTGACGCACCGCTCATCAAGCCACGCTAAGGCAGCTTCCCACACAGAACAGCTATAACTCTACAACTATGATATACAATTATCTACTGGGGCTCTGGGGAGAAAAAAGGAAAAAAGAAGACTGGCAAGATGTTAGCTCAGGGCCAATCTTCTTCTTCAAAAAGAAAACCAACTTTCTTTCCCCCTCATTCTTTCCCTTCCTTTTTCTATGTCCCTCTCTATTCATTCCTATCTAATTAGACCAAATCTTTACTCTTTAATCAGCACAGAGTTCCCACTCCCACCCCACAAATCCAAGTTTACTCACAGAACATCTAAAGATGGAACAAGACATGAAAAAGTGGGTAAATACTCTTTTACGCATTGGAAACAGATGAGTACAGATTCCATGAAAATCCCTGAAGCTGAGCTCTACACCTGCTCCTGGTTTAGTTTAACACCACCATGACACTTCATCTGGAAACAAGGGGGAATCTGACAAGTCTCAAGATGCTTTTGTCCCCTCTCCCTGTGATGACACATGTGAGAATTTACACACTGTCTACAGTGTGAGAGGATGAAGATCTTTAAGCCCAATTCTCTCATATGAGAGCTGTTTCTATGGGAATGCTGGGAGCTTCTAGAAGCTGAAGTTCAAGTTCAGACCAAGATGGGCTCACTTAGAATTCTTGCTTCAGTGCATTCAGTGAAGTCCACAGGTTTGAAGGAATTAATGTCTCCAAGAGAACATAATTTACTCTCTGGGAATAAAGAGATTAAATGTTTACATATCCTTGGCATTGAGTTGGGTGTGCTCTTCACTGCAGACACTGCACCATGCCTTCAGAAATTATTCTCTAATGAATGGTAACTAATAATTGTACCACACGTTACTAGCAAGGTGCTTTTTGTGAATCATGAACATGTTCATAGCAGTATTTTTAAAGATTTATTAATAGTTGCTAATAGATAATACAGCAGCTAGCATTAAAAAAAAAAATCCCCTGAAATTACTAAGTGGATCAGATACAGTCTCTTTCAGAGTTCTGAATGACAAAATTCTTAGAGTCATCGAACTATGGAAGTGGAATATGCTTTGGAGAGGTTGTCAAGCCCAGTATTCCATTTACACAACATCAATAGTTATGCTCCAGTATATTATGACTCAAAGATAAAATATAACAACTTACATTTGCTACCTAATTTTATAGTTAATTAACCCCACACTCAAGGTCTTAAGTGGATATTCCCTTTCTGGAGGAAAGTAATGAAGAAGTGCTATTTTTCACCTCTCCTATTCCTTTCCTAATACTTTGCGCCCTTAGAATCAAGAGCACATACCACACAGGAAGTAACTCAAGCTTGCATTAGAAAAGAACACTGAATTTTCACTTCATTGTCCATAGGTGAAGAAAGGGGTAGGAAAGGAAGGTCTATCTACTTTAAATTTCTGGGTGGTAAAACTAGCCTATGGGTTAAGAGTGTAGGTTCCAGAGTTAGAATATTTTTGTAATCTTGGGCAAGTTACTTAACCTCTCTATGCCTCAATACCCTTATCTGTAAAATGAGGATAAATATAATACTTACTATATAGAGTTGTTAAGAAAAAAAATGAGACAATCCATTTAGCACAGTGCCTGTCACACAGAAAGTGTCAATAAATGACAGACATTATCATTATTTAATATCTGAATTTTACTATTTTATTGTCGATTCCATGGAAAATCATAAGACTTGACGTCAACTATGGAGGGTACAGATGAAAAGAAAGGAAAAGCCTGTAAATATTGCTACTTAAGTATGGTAGGTCTCCATTCTAAAAAAAAAATAAATTTTGTGAAGCTCATCCAAACAGTCAGAAAGGCCCCACATGTTAAAAATTCAAAGATAACAAATAGAAAGGAAACTGAATAGTTATACGGTCATAAAATGACATTTGGCCAAGTATAATATGACATTTAAAGGTCATCTATTCCAATTTAATAACTGGAACCACTGTGTACCCAGCTCTAGAACAGGAGAGTTAGGCACGTACTGGTCACTCATCGCCTCTGAATACATACCTAGATTGAATACGAAAATATTATTCAAAGATACTTATTTAGATAAAACAAGAAGATCAGAAGAAATATCTCAGAAATCTCAGATATACTTTTATATGTATATGAACATATTACATATATGAACATATATTTATATAACATATGAACATATATTAAGAACATATTACACTTGGAAAACATACTACTACTCATATCAATAATATACCTGTGGAAGCAGAATGCTACTGCCCCCTACTGAAATTTTTCTTTTTTTTTTTTTTGAGGAAGATCCGCCCTGAGCTAACCTCCATGCTAATCCTCCTCTTTTTGCTGAGGAAGACTGGCTCTGAGCTAACATCCATAGCCAATCCTCCTCCTATTTTTCCCGAAAGCCCCCCAGTAGATAGTTGTACGTCATAGTTGCACATCCTTCTAGTTGCTGTATGTGGGACACGGCCTCAGCATGGCTGGAGAAGCGGTGCGTTGGTGCGCACCCGGGATCTGAACCTGGGCCGCAGTAGCGGAGCATGCGCACTTAACCGCTAAGCCACGGGGCCGGCCCACCCCTAGTGAAATTTTAGTAAACTACCTTTGTCTTCTTTGAAAGAAGACAACAATAAAATGACACACTTTGAAAAGGATTAAAACTGCTTCTCTTTTTGCTATCAAAATACATACACATGTACATATATATTATTAAATGAACAAATATTTTGAAAGAACCTTTTTCTCTGATGGGAAAACACTATTTTCTATTTTAAAATAGAAACCAATTTTCTATTTTCTTCATGGTTAAATGTGAAATCACATTTAACAGTCTGAGCTATACAGGCAATCTGGGTAATATTAGTCATCTTTGTTGCAATTTAATATGAAAGTCCATAAACACAAGTGTAGATTTCCAAGGGGATAGACAATATGTCTATGTGCTTTACTTTCTAAAGTATCCAGAATACGGGGCTAAAGGCATGAACATTTTAATAGTTTTGATGTGAAAGTGGTGGTGGGTGGATTTGAGAAGCAAATGACACTAACTCCACTTTGAGTACAGTTGGGAAAGTCACATTGATATCACTCCCTTCATATTGCTATGAGCCTGTAGTGTGTATTTCCAGAGTTAGACCTATCACACCACATTTGAGCACACAACCTTTAGAAGGCAATCAATATATATTTGCTCAGTGAAACAAAAAAGAATAAATCGTGTACATCATTATTTCTCGATGGGTGACTATTGGCATTGAGAGGAGATTCTCACATATT